CTCAACACTTTCTGAATGAAAAAATCTTACTTTACAGTACGGATTTTGTTACTCTGGATTAATCGGGTCGAAAATATGTTTAAATGGGTTTTTATCGCTTGAATTTTTATTATTTTTTTCTAAAAAATCACAAATTTAATGCGTTTTTTTGTATTTTTAATGCCAGAAATCTTCCTTTTCTTAAAGTGATAACGAAGATCTAGAATCCTGCCTCTTACAATCATCATACATAATAGAGATTTAAAGCGATTTTCGCGACTAAAATATTATACTTTTCGAATAAACTTGACTCTATATAGTATTTTACATATATTCGAATGTATTTTCGTAAGAATTATCACTAAAACGTTTGATAAAATATGAAAAAATCAACAACAATAAAGCGCTCTCCTATTTACATAAATTCTTCATAGTAAAGCTAAAAATGGAGCACTTCGCTCACAAAAATTCGCTTTTATAAACCCCAAAATGATATTTTCATGTCTAAAAAAAAGCATACTAGAATGCTTTTTACCCATAAAACATTATAAAAAATATTCAAATTTCGAGCCTAGAAAATCATTTTCTAAACCCATATGGAATCGCATCTTAACAGATTTAATATAAGAAAAAAAAGGATCTTAATAATAAAGGAACCCGTCCAAACCCATAAATAGAGAAAACTTCAATAAAAATCTATTTTATGAGAACATAAAAGCCTAAAGGCTCTAGGGAACTTTACTCTGACAGATTCATTCGTAAGGATAAACTAAATGAGGATACCAAGAGCAGGAATGATGCTAAGTAGTCACATGTTTTTATAGAAATCAAAAAAATAATTCTACTCACCTGTTGATAGAACTAACACTTGGAATATTATCTTGGTCACAAATTCCATCAGCTAGTAACCTATCCCTTATTTCCCATGCAAACATTGTGGGGTTCTGTTTCTTATAGTTCGCTATCGCGTCTACAACTTTTGGGGTTGCTACTTTAGGTTTGCTTCCACCAATAACTCCTGGCTTTATAGAGCCTGTTTCGTAGTACCTGAAAAATAATAATAATAATAATAATAATAATAAAATTTATCTTCAATTTTGTTTTTTTTTATTTAAAACTGAAGAATTTCAAGTATTTAATCAGTTTTCTTTTCTTTATATAAACTATGAAAAAATTGGGTCAATAACAATTTATAAATTGCTATTTTTTTATCATAATATCAATTTACTTTATTCTATTTACGTCAGAATATAAATCTTATAAATCCATTATTACGTAATAATTAAAAAAACTTCTTGTGTATCGTCAAATTTACATTATTACGTAAAACCATTATTACGTAATAATTAAAAAACTTCTCGTGTATCGTGAAATTTACATTATTACGTAACAATCATATAACGATCACGTAATAATAGAAACCATTCTGATTGGATAAGAGTTAATTATTACGTCATTTCTATTGTTGCGTAATGACAAGAAACGTTTTGATTGGAGGAGAGTTTCTATTATTACGTAACAATAAAAAATTGTTACACAATAATAAAATTTTTTTTGTAATTAAGAAGTAATTTTCATTCTACGTCATTTCTATTATTACGTAGACACGGTATAACGTCATAATATGATTTTAATTATTACGTAAGTATGGATAACAAAATAATTTTTTAAAAATAAATAAATTATATTTTAAAAGAATGTTCAGCAAAATAAATAAATTAATTAAATATTTATTAACTATTTTAATAAATATATTAAAGAGAAATGCTCTTGTTTATTACTAAAATCTTATTATTACGTAAGAATGGCGTAATTATTACGTAATAACAGAAATATTCTAATTGGATGAAAGTTTATTAAGTATTGTTACGTTATAATAAAATCTTGTTGTTACGTCATTTCTATTATTATTAAATATATTAAAGAGTAGCAGCAAGTTCCTTATAATTAATTCCGACAACAGTCTAAAAATAGGGCTAAAAATAGCACTTTTTAAGACACAATACTTTAAATTATAGCATTTTTATAATTATCAAACGCTCAATATTATAATTTAATAATTAAATTACTCTTTTAAAGGTGTTAAAATCTTAAAAATCTTTCATAAAAGATGTACACGAAAGGTAAGCCATATTAATTAACAAATACACTTAAAATTAAATTATTATGAAGTAAACTGTACAAAACTCTCTTCTTCATCCCTAAAACTTATAAATTTATTTAATTTTATCTCATTGAATTAAGAAAAAATAAAAAAAAATCACAATTTGGCGTATCGTCACAACGAAGATGAGCACTTCACCGCAGGTNCGGTGTATAAAAAAGTAATGGAGTCTGTTTAAAAAACACCCCCCTCATCCAAATTATCACGTGTTTATTTTATTTTTAAATATAATATATATATACGTAAAAAAAGCGCTAGAGTATCGAACATTTCCGTCACTGTTACGAATCGATAGATAAAAACCTTTACAGTTGCATAACTCGAATACAATTGCTAATAATATTACTCGAGGAAGCAAAGCATTGGTTTTAGGAAGAGAATTTGACTAATGCAGCAGTCAGCCATTACCACTCTGCAACAGAACAGCACAGGTGCATTAACAGGAGTTCTCCCTGATGGACAGCTACTATATTCCTCCGTTACTTCTGCATGGCTGCCTCTATTGACTGGGGGTGTAAGCTTGCACTCATCACGTTCACTTACCAACACGTCAGTCGGGACAGGGTCAGACAGATGGTCAAAGATCCCTCCTCGTAATTACACAAAACAACATTATTAACAATAACCGCATCGACAGAGGGGGTTGACAACTCTATCGTTCGTTGTTACCCTTAAAAGTCATAGTTTTAATGATCTTCACTTAAATTCTACTCCCCCTCTTTCGTGTTCCTTTAAAATATTAAGTTGATACTCTGCTCTCTTTCCTCTCTTTCCTCTTTCTCTCTCTCTCTCTCTCTCACTTGCTCCTCTTCTTCTTGTTGCATTGCTTACTTGATAATGAATTTTATTAAGAAAGTGTTTTTGTAAAATAAACTAATTTACATGAAAATTTGCTTCTCTTAACATTTATTTATTTATTTTTTTTTTACTATAAATTAATGTGATTTTTTGTATTTTTTTTAAACACACACACATTAAAATATTACAAATTAAAATCTGTTTCCTTACATAAATTATCATGTAAATTAAATTTAGCGCTAGATTTATATTTATTTAAGCTTTAAATAACGAGAGAATTTGTATAAATTTTTGCAATTTTTACAGGATTTTTATTTATTTTCCGATTTCTCTTTAATTTCGCGAGTGTTCCAACTTAGATTTTCGATCCTTTATAGTCTTGCAACTCGGTTAACCGTAATATAAATCTTATAAACTGCACTTATATACTTTTAAACACGATTAAACCTTAATAGTTTCCTTATAGAAACTAATTTATAAAACATCTTTCAACACGAACCTAGAAAAATTCTCCAGATTCAGCATTTAAACTAAGATAACATCGCATAACTTCCACATCAAAGGGAAATCCTGCTAGTCGACAAAATGGCAAACGATCCAGACCACCCTCCGCGAACAAAAACATTCGTTCTTTCGAGAAAAAATTCCCTTAAATACCTAAAAAAAATCCCTCCCATTTCTATACACTTTAAGTGAGAAAATCGTTTATTCTTTTCCATCAAATCAAACTAATTATTGAAGTAATGAATCCTTTATACTAGAAGACAAACAGAACAATGGCATTGTAGGCTCCTTAATCTACAATAAGGAGAAGCTAAGCTCACTTCAAGTGACGTTGATTAGTTGTAATCTGGTAGCAGCAACGTGGACATCCAGGGATTTACTCAACTAACCACTTGATACCCCAACTACTATCCGGAGGCAATTTACACAGTCACCTCTCTACTTTGCTCCTATGCTACCATAAATCCCAGGGTTATCCAAACTCCAGTTGGGAACTGGTCTTCCCTTTTACGAACTACCGAGCCTTAATGACGGATAATCGACTTAAGCTTTCATCAACTACATTGTAGATGGAAGAGGCCCGATATTGGATAGTTTCAGAGGGACCAGTTGATTCGACAAGAGGACGGTCCGGCCTCGTTAATAGAATCACAGTAGTGCACCGACAAACACGTTAAATTATTTATCTCCAACCACTTTGGCATCCGCCACAAGTGATTAGTAGAAACTCAACACTTTCTGAATGAAAAAATCTTACTTTACAGTACGGATTTTGTTACTCTGGATTAATCGGGTCGAAAATATGTTTAAATGGGTTTTTATCGCTTGAATTTTTATTATTTTTTTCTAAAAAATCACAAATTTAATGCGTTTTTTTGTATTTTTAATGCCAGAAATCTTCCTTTTCTTAAAGTGATAACGAAGATCTAGAATCCTGCCTCTTACAATCATCATACATAATAGAGATTTAAAGCGATTTTCGCGACTAAAATATTATACTTTTCGAATAAACTTGACTCTATATAGTATTTTACATATATTCGAATGTATTTTCGTAAGAATTATCACTAAAACGTTTGATAAAATATGAAAAAATCAACAACAATAAAGCGCTCTCCTATTTACATAAATTCTTCATAGTAAAGCTAAAAATGGAGCACTTCGCTCACAAAAATTCGCTTTTATAAACCCCAAAATGATATTTTCATGTCTAAAAAAAAGCATACTAGAATGCTTTTTACCCATAAAACATTATAAAAAATATTCAAATTTCGAGCCTAGAAAATCATTTTCTAAACCCATATGGAATCGCATCTTAACAGATTTAATATAAGAAAAAAAAGGATCTTAATAATAAAGGAACCCGTCCAAACCCATAAATAGAGAAAACTTCAATAAAAATCTATTTTATGAGAACATAAAAGCCTAAAGGCTCTAGGGAACTTTACTCTGACAGATTCATTCGTAAGGATAAACTAAATGAGGATACCAAGAGCAGGAATGATGCTAAGTAGTCACATGTTTTTATAGAAATCAAAAAAATAATTCTACTCACCTGTTGATAGAACTAACACTTGGAATATTATCTTGGTCACAAATTCCATCAGCTAGTAACCTATCCCTTATTTCCCATGCAAACATTGTGGGGTTCTGTTTCTTATAGTTCGCTATCGCGTCTACAACTTTTGGGGTTGCTACTTTAGGTTTGCTTCCACCAATAACTCCTGGCTTTATAGAGCCTGTTTCGTAGTACCTGAAAAATAATAATAATAATAATAATAATAATAAAATTTATCTTCAATTTTGTTTTTTTTTATTTAAAACTGAAGAATTTCAAGTATTTAATCAGTTTTCTTTTCTTTATATAAACTATGAAAAAATTGGGTCAATAACAATTTATAAATTGCTATTTTTTTATCATAATATCAATTTACTTTATTCTATTTACGTCAGAATATAAATCTTATAAATCCATTATTACGTAATAATTAAAAAAACTTCTTGTGTATCGTCAAATTTACATTATTACGTAAAACCATTATTACGTAATAATTAAAAAACTTCTCGTGTATCGTGAAATTTACATTATTACGTAACAATCATATAACGATCACGTAATAATAGAAACCATTCTGATTGGATAAGAGTTAATTATTACGTCATTTCTATTGTTGCGTAATGACAAGAAACGTTTTGATTGGAGGAGAGTTTCTATTATTACGTAACAATAAAAAATTGTTACACAATAATAAAATTTTTTTTGTAATTAAGAAGTAATTTTCATTCTACGTCATTTCTATTATTACGTAGACACGGTATAACGTCATAATATGATTTTAATTATTACGTAAGTATGGATAACAAAATAATTTTTTAAAAATAAATAAATTATATTTTAAAAGAATGTTCAGCAAAATAAATAAATTAATTAAATATTTATTAACTATTTTAATAAATATATTAAAGAGAAATGCTCTTGTTTATTACTAAAATCTTATTATTACGTAAGAATGGCGTAATTATTACGTAATAACAGAAATATTCTAATTGGATGAAAGTTTATTAAGTATTGTTACGTTATAATAAAATCTTGTTGTTACGTCATTTCTATTATTATTAAATATATTAAAGAGTAGCAGCAAGTTCCTTATAATTAATTCCGACAACAGTCTAAAAATAGGGCTAAAAATAGCACTTTTTAAGACACAATACTTTAAATTATAGCATTTTTATAATTATCAAACGCTCAATATTATAATTTAATAATTAAATTACTCTTTTAAAGGTGTTAAAATCTTAAAAATCTTTCATAAAAGATGTACACGAAAGGTAAGCCATATTAATTAACAAATACACTTAAAATTAAATTATTATGAAGTAAACTGTACAAAACTCTCTTCTTCATCCCTAAAACTTATAAATTTATTTAATTTTATCTCATTGAATTAAGAAAAAATAAAAAAAAATCACAATTTGGCGTATCGTCACAACGAAGATGAGCACTTCACCGCAGGTCACAAGTGTCGTGCAGTGAAGCCACACTATTGTATTTATAGAAAGAACTCCATTCACAAACACACACATATACACACGCACACATACCGCTCCACATGAAGCGAACCATTCATATATTTTTTTTTCCTCTTTCCTCTACTTTTCTCTGTTGGAATCATATTAGCTCTCCCTCTGTCATAGCAAAGATCCTATCTGTTTATTCTAAAAAATTACCCTACTTTTTCCCCTAACTCCACGATAGTCAGATGGTTATCGCGGCGTATTTTATGTCGAAGAGAAACAAAGTCCTACCTTAACTTTAAACAGAACCTCCCCCTTTACCAAAAATAAACCATTTTTAAGTGTTATATCTTAACATCGGTTATAACCAACAACCCCCTTCGCTTCCAAGCCACCTTTAAACTATATGGCTTTATAAGCGGAGAGTGTGTCCTTAAAATCAATTTTTCTATTTAAAACCTTAAAAGAAAGTTAGAATAGGGTGTCTAAACATCAAAATAAAATTCAACAATGGAGTTATCTATACACAAGTAAAAGGTAGAATTGAAGCGAAGGTCGGCACTGATCAGATCTTCAGCATCCCTAGTCGTTTCTATCCTTTACAACCTCCTATATTAAACTCGAGTGTTATATTTAGAATTAAGGGGGATTGATGACAAATGATGAGTCCTCGTCCGTCCGCCTGTCTTTCCAAACTACACAGGTGTGGGCCACATTACTCATATTTTGTTGATTATGCGGCACTTACTCCCCGATCTAAATATAAATTAAGGAATAGGGTTAATTAGCAAGTCGTGTATCTCGTACAGATCACCTTAACGGTAATTTAACTTTCGATAGATGAATAATTTGCATAAAAATACCCCCTCCCCGAGTAATTCATAAAACTAAAAAAATATATAAGTAATATCAAACATAGTCAAGAAGCAAGGTGTTTTTTTTTTTTAACCAGGCTTTTACAGTTATTATAAGGTTCTTTTTTATATAGAGAGGGGCCCTTTTTACTCTCCATTTTAGTTGAATTTATTAGAAATTTATACAAACTGAGGCCTCGAGTAATCATAGAAGAGGCATAAGTATAGAATATCAACAAAGACATAATTGTATAGCGATAGGTTTTAAGTTTCGAATCCGAAAATAAAATCTAACAGTAAATTTATTATTCAAGCTTTGTTTTTTTTAAATAAAACGTTAATATATATATTTTTTTTTCCTTAAAAATCCCCTCTTTAGTAATTTTTAAAGAGTGACTCACCTGTAAAATATCTTTGGGATTTCCTTGCCAGGTTCTAAATGGGAAAACTCAATTTTAATTTTTATTTTCTTTGTTTTTTTTTNAGAGATGGAGAATTTGAGACGAGACTAGATGAGGTCATAAGGGAGGAGAAAGCAATCTTAAACTTAGGAATTTATTAAGAGGAAGATGTTAATGCGACACTAAACTTGAGTATAGAAGATGGTGAAGGATACGTTAAAAGATAGAAAATAATGTTAATAATGGGGTGTGAGAGGAGTTAAAATTATATATAAAAAAAGGAGTTTTAGGTATTAAGGCCTCGATCAATTACAAGGGCCTGGTTTCATGTAAAGAGAGGCCCAAACTACACACCATTAAGACGACATCAGATTTGAAAAGGAAGTTGTCGTTGACAACCGTGAAAAATAACGCCGGCCTAGGGGGAGGATGCAGAAAACAGGAGAAGGGCCGGAAGAATTGTAAAGCATAGTTGGAAATTAGCCGTGACTACAAGAAGGAAATATTAGCCACAGCTTCCCACCAGATTTGGATCAACTTTAATCTCTTAGTACCCAACACGGGACCTCCTAATGAATCCGGACAGAAACGTGTGGAGCCCTGTCACCGCTCCACTTCTACCTGACATGTTCGGGGTCGGTTAATGGAGATGGCAAAGTAGAAAAATCTATGACACTGACCATCACTACACCAGACCGAATTCACGTGTGTGTATGTGTGTGTGTGTGTGTGTGTGGCTTGGTAAGTAATGGAAGTGAATCTGCACACTCGCACGTGGCCCGCGTCTGGACAGTGTCTTTCACGCGAGAGTCGAATCACGTTCTTGTCAGATGAAATTGGGCTAATTTGCCTGTGTAAGGGCGGGTAGTAATGACCCGGTAATGCACGGTGTGGGATTTTTCTTGATTACAGGCTCCATTCTGCCGACATTTTCAAACAAAGCCACGATGTGTGGCAAGAACACACGCGACTCGGTACTTACCATCCCGACATCATCTTTTTACATTATTGGAGGATGTAGAGAGGTCCTAATGGCCGACTTTGGGCGTGAACCCTGGCACCGAGGACCCTTTTAAACTATGAGATTCCCTCCTACTTCTATGTCAATCATTTCAGTTATCAATTAACCAATCCTAAAAAATAGTCTACCGACTTTTTTTTTTTTTTAAATCATGCATAATCGCTCATTAAAGCTCGTCTCGTTTACGTGACGCACGAATGCGTAACGTGACGTCTTCACGCTCGGTGGATCAAGATCAGCAGTCGACATCTCGCTGAGACAAAGAACAAGGAAGCAAACTGATTCTTCTCCGCCTTTTTTTTTATATCTCTACGAAGAGAAGGAACAAGAAGAACAAAAAAAAAGACTCGAAAACCTCACCAACCTCACTAAAGATAGTAAGTTATGTTGCCTAACATAATAACTGTTTAAGATGTCCCTATCCAAATTAGGCACTTTGAACTCAGTGTCGGGGATGTAAAACATACAAAAAAGGTAAGATAAATGGTTAAACATTACTAGAAATATCCCATACTATAAGTAGTACTAATGACCTTTCACCCATACTTCAAGCTCTGTTAGTCTATACAATTTTACATTCAAGAAATTCAATTTGTACCTTGGCAGTGACATAAATTTGAATTTTAATTAAGTAAAATTAGAGAAAATTTTTAGAAAATCGTCACGTAAAATTTAATAAGTGATGCTGCTGCTGCTTTACTTCTCTAAAAGTGATGAGGATGAGGATGTTGGATGATTTGCATCCCATATTAAACTTTTGTATAAGAGTAAGATATTATATTTTATTTCGATTTTTAAATCATTTTATTAGAAGAATTTTTAAGAATTTATAGACTTATAAACCATAAATATCGTAAACATTTTCTAAAAAATTAATCTTTAAACACGCTCTAAACAATTGTTTTGTGAGTAATAACAAATTTCACTTCATTCGTGACAGAATTTATAGAATTATTTATTATTAAATTCTAATAAAAATCATAAATATTAAACCTTTAGAATGTTATAAAGTTTTATATATTGAAAAATATTAAAAAATTTAATGATTAATTATAAAAAAAAAATTCCATAAATTGTTAATTGTACGATTAAACACCAACTGCAAATCCCGTAGACATTGCCTTAATTTTTTCAGGATTTACAGGCTTATAAATTAAATTTTAAACCGAATTTCATTTGAAAACATTCCAGAAATGTCTAAAAAATAATTTAAATACAATAGAATTTTTTAAAATATATTATTTACTCCAAAAAATACACATTTTAAGACCCCATCATTCGAGCGCTTCTCTAGACGAAGCATTAAGTTATTATCTAGAAAAAACTAATTTATATATATATATATAAGTGTAATTATGTATATAATTTAACATATAAACATATAATATAATGTATTTTTTAGGTGTAAAAAGTGTTTACGTCACTGAATAAATGGCAGAATAAGGGGGGAAGATGAGTTTTG